ACAGTTGTGCCAACAGCAGCAACTCATGTGAGAATTACACTGGGTGGTCTCTATGTACAGAAGCACTCACATTTCAGCTTAGTTTCATCCACAAGCAAATCATCCTAATGATACTCTGGAAATTACTGAGAACTGACAATACTTTAATGTCGGGGATGGTTCTTCAAGAGGAGACATCAATTGTTAGCTGTAAGTTCATTAAAAAGAAAAGTACTTGAAGCATTGCTCATGAGGGTTATGAAATAATTTGTACCATATGCTCAGTAGACAATAATCAACATAAATTCAAGTCAAGCATATGAGGCATTCACTCTGTAAAAAGGAAAATTTGGCTGCATTTCTGGTTTTGGTTACAGAATGATTTTTGAGATCCAAGCAATAATTTTAATCAACATTTTACAAGCTAGCATTTTATTTCACTCTGTTCTTTTCAGGCTCTACAGATTTCTGTTTATTTCAGAAGTGAATAATCCTGAAATTCAACCTACAAGCCAAAACACTAAAAAAAGGGTTTTGATGCTGTTGACGGTTTGGCTACCCTTGTGAAACAAATAAACCCTACACTGTTAGCGGTGAACAACAATTTGTTTCTTCAGCATCCTTCCCTGAGTATGGAGGGATGCAGATGAACATCTACCTAAACCTGAGGCCTACTGATGCTTTCCCAGATTAAAGGTGTGTATCTGAGATGCTCCAAGGGAATCTCCTATGGTCCAGGGAACCCACCTATTCATTCTTGAGGCATTTCTTTTAACATAAGAGCTAGGTAATACTAGATACTATTTTCATATACCCTTATTTTTGCCTGCCTTTTCATGCTGAGTCAAAGCAAATTTCCTTAATTAGTTTGAATGCATATCTGTGTCAGCTAGAGGTAGAACAAAGATTAGTAAAAAAAAGAGATGCAACATTTTATTTGTAGTGATTGGTGAAGTATATCTACTAAAACACTTGGGAAGTTGGTTACAAAGTTTGTCTAGGCAGTTTAACATAGGCAATATCAGAGTAAGTAAATATTGAAACAAAAAATATCAAGGATGAAGCAGGTTTGCATTTGGAATTACTGCCAAAGTATGTCACATCCAGTATCTAGTGCTGGGAAGTTCCTTATCAGTACTGCACCTAATACCTCTTTAATTTATCTGAGGGCCTTGCAATCTCTGCCTTACGGTTCTTGGCAGAAAGTTAAAAGATGGAAGGTCTGGTATGTAAGAAAATATACTAGCACCCATTTCCCCATGTAAGTCAGTCTTTTTTCTGTAAAAATTCAGATATCCTGTGGCATGCTTTTAAAAGAGTCAGCACCTGGAACTGACTATATGACAGAAAACAGGAAAATAATAAATATCCCCGTGAACCTACACTCAATGAATAAAAATAAATTACTTTGGTATACAGCATAATCTACTTGAGAAAGGAAAAAAACCTTTTCTTAGTCAGGGAACGGGACATTAAAATCACTACAGCTGAAAGTTCACACAGAATAGTTAAATGCTTTAAAAGACTTGCATCTGCTATTATAAAAAAAAAAAAAAAGTTTCAATTTTTATAGTTTAGAGGTTTTTGTATAATTACATGTCTTAAAATGACCTGTAAATGGTTTGAAAATCATTCTCTCCAGAGTACATCTTCCAGTTGACAGGAGTAACCTTTTCTTATTCAGCCTGAAGCTAGGAAAGTAGATGATAAGTGAGCTGGCAGCCCTCCCACCTCCTTATTTTTTTAAAAAAAAATAACTATATGGGTGAAAAGAGACATGTAGGACAACAATGTTACTATCAATATTTCTGCTTTTATTTTCTTTGACATTTACAGAATTTTATCTATTTCAAATTACTCAAGCAATCCATCAGCCTTGTAGGATAGGCTACTTGCAAGCCAAAGGACTTAAAAGACATTAAAAAAAAAAAAAATCCATAAATTCTTTGATGCATTTTTTCTGCAGTTTGCCTGTTGAGCGATGAAATAATTTGTGATTTCTAGCTAACCACTCGCTGTTCATTACTTATGTGCTTTTACAGGATTTATTTTGCCCTTATCATTTGGCACAAATATTTTGCCACACAAGAAAAAGTATTAATTTCACTGATACTAGATATATGGAGATTACTGAAATTACATTATCCTGTTCTCCCTAAACATGCCAATGTGACTAAAGGCAACACAGTGATTCATTATTATTACTATTCATTATATTCTGGTTAGTCAAAATACTCAAATTCAACTCTTTTCTTTAAAACTGGTTTCTGTGAGGTTGCTGGACACTGGGATGTTCTATCTTTGTTTCTAGGAAGTTTTAGCTACTAGAAATTATTGAGTAGCTCACAATTGAATCTGGGGCAGAAATCTCTAAATCCAGTAGTGGTCCTGAGTCCAATGAATAGAATTTACTAACATGCCTCAACAGGTCATTGGAAGACTTCCCACCCAACCAAGTCACAGCCCTTTTCCAGCAGGCAGAATAGTAAGAGTTCCATCAACTGTTTGAGTCTTTCTGCACTGTGAAATAAAAATACTAATACTTCTATGCATTCATTTACCAAGATTTAACCAGTTACTTTCTGAGCTCCCAAGGAAATCAATGGTATAAGGAAGAAATGGAATGTAAACCACAACAGAGACTAAATATATTCTTAGATTGGAAGGTGAAAATAATATTGGGATATTATTTGGTATTTTCATAATGCATTGTATTTTCAGCAGCAAATATGCATGAAAGAGATCAAACTGGCATGACATTTACATTGAAGACATTTGGACGTCTCCTTATGGAAAAACACTAATGTTTTCCAGGAACATAACCTTGAAAGAGCTTAATTTTTGATTATTCTACTAGAATGTACGTGCTTACAGGATTATAAAAATAGATACAGGAATTTATAACTTCTGCAAATATACAATGATTTAATGCAAACTTTCTCTTTCAGGGATCAACTTACGTTTCAACAGCTCTTGCAAATATCTGTATATAACAGAAGAGATGGTCCTCTGCATCCTCTCTTAAAATCTACTTATTAGCTTTCTTATCACCACTCAAAAAAGGAGGAAATAGCAGTTTGTCGGAAATATCGGTATTTATATTCTTCTTAGGCACTCAGAATTATGCCTTTTAATTTATTTTGAGCAATCCTAGAAATGAGCGTCCAGAACATGATCACGTAGCTGTGACATTAACATTGTTATATGTGTTACAGACCATGTTATAGGAGCAAAAGGGGAAGGAAAGACTGCTGAGTCTATCACTTGGAAATTCCCTCTGTTCCAGACATAATGCACGATGTTTTGTTTTCATGGTGGCTTTTTGTTTTTTTGGTGTTTTTGTTAGTTTTTCTGTGTCCACGTGTGTGTGTGTGTGTGTGTGTGTGTGTGTGTGTGTGTGTGTGTGTGTGTATGTGTGTATGCATGGAAGTGTACAAAGAATTGCATTTTGGACAGCAAAACGGAGAGGAGAAGTATTTATTAAAATAGTAATGAAAAATAAAATGGCTCCATGTTTCCCCTGCAAACTCAAAGAGCAAAGTTGTTGCTTTAGCGTGATGAAATTTTCTTATCCCAGATTGAAAAGCAAGAGGTATTCTATTTGCCATCTATATGGCAGTTGTCTTGTGTTAAGTGGGCAGTTTTTCCTTATCTCTTCCACAACCAATCCTCCTGGGAGACATCTGCTGACAATGGGCCTTGAGTGTCACTGCATGACTGATAAGAAGTTTAACATCCCATTGTGAGATGCTCTGGCCAGAGGGAGGAGCCAAGCATTCCTACCTGCATATAGTGTTGAGATTCTGGCCCATCAGCACCACTTTTTCTGTGCTGGATTTTCCCAGAGGAAGAGCTGCCTCTTCCATTGCCTTTTCATAGGAAGACTACACCCTTTTCTACAGGATCACTACTCCAACAGAACCACACCTGATGCTCCAGGAGGCCTGCAGCCACAGTTCCAATTAGACTGCTACCAACACCTGTCCAACAGGGTGTCAGGTTGTATTCTGACTCTGTCAGTGTTGTTTTGGTTCACTGCATCATTTATTTTATCTTTTTATTTTCTTGCCTAATAAAGAACTATTATTCCTATTCCCATATTTTTGCCTGAGAGCCCCCCTTAATTTCAAATTTATAACAATTTGGAGGGAAGGGGTCTACATTTTTTCATTTCAGGGGAGGCTTCTGCCTTCCTTAGCAGATACCTGTGTTGCTAAACCTAGGCAAACTTTCTTCATAACTAATATTGAAAAATATATTATTCCTCATGATCACTTCCCTTTAAAGTTATCTAAGCACCTCTTAACTCTTAATGTCTCAAAGAGCATCTAAGTAAGAGCAATACAATAATTTTTTAGTGTTGAAAACTGGAACAGCTGCTTTTATGTCCAAATCTTGTATTTTGTAGCCACAAACATGTCCTGGATAATAACCTGAATCATCTGTATCAATAATTGGAACAACACAGTTGTTGGAACAACATAGGAAATGCTTGCAAAGAAATACTGAACTTTCAAAATACATTCCCTAGATAACAAAAAAGGCATTAATTTATAAGCATCACTGCAAGTCAAGATGCTAAATTTACTTCTGTAAACTGTTATACCTGTGCCACAGCAATTTTCCAATAAGAGAACAAAGAAACAGAACAGGAAGAAATATAGGAAACTCTTAGCATGTGAGCATATAAACCACTACACTAACCTCAACTGTAAGTCAGCAATTAGCTGAAAGCTCAGTGATGTTGTAAGAAAATTTTCATGTACTGTATCAAAACTGCAAAATATATAATGTACAAATAACAAGCTGACAGTTCATTTCTGAAAAGCCTTTTTCCACACCACCACCAGACTCCATTTTGAGTAGTCTTACCACTCCACCCACCAACACAGAGTGTGTGCTGAACAGTAAATTGCTAGTTACAGCTTTCTGAAATTTTCTATTAAAAGTTTTAGGATAACCAAAATTATTTTACTTTGAGAACCAAATTTTAGACTATTTTAAGGAATGTCTCAACTTACTCCAGGAGAGAACGGTTGGCTCAGCTGCCTTTGTTGCTGCAATGAGTGTCAGGTAACTCCACTCATCCACAAGCCTTTGTTGCTGCAATGAGTGTCAGGTAACTCCACTCATCCACAAGAGAATATGGCTTTACTCAAAGGACTGTGGGGAGGGAAGTCAAAGAGTCAGAACACTTCACCTCCTCTGTAGCTTGTGAGAAGTCAGCTTCTGGTGTAGGACCTGAGAAGGAAGACAGAATTTGCTGAGGTTTTCACTTGCTGTTTATGGCTGTTGAGAAAGAAGAACAGCTGGCACAAAGCATGACCTGGCTGGTGATAACATTTGCAGAAGCAGCAGCTCAGGGTCTGAAGGAGCTCTAATGGGAAGCTGTGGCTAATTGGAGAGGCTTTAGGGGTAATGCCCCAAATGAGTGCCCTTGGAAGTGCATACATAATTGATGGACACACTGGAGAGGGTGTGTTTGTGGAGGCTGCAAAAAGAGAAATCACTCCATCCCTCTAGCATAGGATACAGACGAAAAAACAGTTACTCTGTCCTTTCAGCATGATACTTGCCTTGCTTTTCCAAACTCCAATGATCATCTCAGTACTCTTTTTTGCAGCACCTTCCACTACCAAAATCTCAGAGCAGCCATGAGCAGCTGAAGCCATACTGCTACATACAGAAACACAGAGCATGCTTCAGACACAGGGAAGCTGTGAGCTTAAAATGCCTCAGGCAGAGAAAAGAAGTCAATTTGGATTTCTCTTATCTCTAGCAACAGAGGGCAAAAGAAAGGCAGTCTATAAACACCATCTCCTTCTCCAGCAATTTGTAAACCTAGCACATCTGTCCTATGCTTTATTTATGAGTGAATGAAAAACAATTGGATTTGTGTCAGACAGACTATCTAAATGCAGAAAGGAAAGACACATTTCAGTTTTTCATTTTGGCCACACAAATACACCTTTCATGTTTACTTTCAGTACAAGTCAAAATCCACTGTCTTAGAGTTATAATTGAAAGGATGGATACAAACAAACCCTTTGGCCCTGCTGGCTTGCATTACTTGAAACAATGCCCCCTCAGATGGTGAAAATATTGGAAAACTAAAACTGCCACTTTTCTTTTTCTTTTTGATGACTTGGACTCTGAGACCAGTACTGTATTAAATATATTTCTCATGTTTCTAATTTCAAGAGAAATGTCACTGTAGAGCTACAGGTAGCAACCAAAACAGTGAACCTTCTATTCTGCCTGTGGGCTGAAGTAAAATTATATACTAGTTAAAAAAGGGAATTACACGGTCTGCAAGGATTTTCTACTATAGAGATAAGAGGTGAATAATTCTTTCCATGCATTATTCTCCTCCCTTTACCCCAAAAATAGCCCATAAATAAGAAAGCTCAAAAACTGCAAACTGTTCAAGAGTTAGCTGAACACTGTACTAACTGATAAGGATGCATCAGAAGTAGCTAAAGTGTATATTGTGCTTTAGAAGCTTTAATGAAATATAAGCCTTCTGCTGTTGAGACAGTAATACTTTTATAAATCTATGTATAGAAGTAATTACTAATAATTTTATTTTTACTGCAGCTGTCTAATAGTGGCACTACAGAAACTAAGTTGGATGATGGCATCTCAGATAATGTTCTTCCCCTTTAAAAATAAGAAATCAGGAAAAAGTAACGTAAAGAAGGATCTTATTGCAGAAGGATCAATATGCTCTTGATCTGGTTTAAGACAGTACCATAAAGTTTTCTCTCAGAAGAACACAGGAATAAACAAATAAACTCCCTTTGTTTACTAGGATTTTGACATAAAGGCCTGTTAACTGAGATGGAATTAGAAGGAAAATCCAAAGAGGTTATTTATGTTTTCTGTATTTATTAAAATGTAATTCCTGTTGTTGATTCATATAGAAACATGAAGAATATAATAATAATAATGATTAATAGAATTTTAATTTCTCATATAATTTTCCATATAATTACAGAATCTTATTTAATTCCTTCTGTCATACCTTAGTAGTGATAAATTGATAGGTTTTGATGGAAGATACGGAAATAAAATTTGTATTAACTGTTTCATGCTGAATAATTTATGCTACTTGTGATCTAATGCAGATTGATTTCCACCTTTCAAACAAGACTTTAATACAGAAGCTACATGAAAGGAACACTGCATCTGTCTTTGGGTTGTTCCACTCTCTTCATCATGGTGATGCCTCAGAGCAGGTGGACACCTCCCCATCTACCTAAGCTGTGCACCTGGGCTGACAGAAGAGCCTGGACACAGGTGGGAGATCTGCACCAGGAAGAACAGCTGCAGACACAGCCCCATGGCAGAGATAGGGATGACGTGTACTGCCTCTTTGGAGTTCCCTATAGTGTCTCTCCACCCCCACCACAGGGTGCAGATACAATAGCTGTCTGGGCTTGCTGTGCCTGCCCGAACATTTTCCTGTGTTCCACCTCTCTGGCAAGTCTCTGCTCCTCTGAGGGCAGGCAGACCCACAGCCAAGGTGCAGCAATCAGTGTGGTACACACTTTTACTTGGGAAAATCATATTCCGAAAAATTCAGAATTTTCAGAATTGAAAATGAGTATTGTCATTTCATTTCTTCTGGTAATTTCTGGAATATTTCTATCAAGGCATTACTTAACAAAGGTGGAATTCGCTTCTTGAAAAAATGCAAATGTCCTCTCCATGGAAATGTATATTCATAGTCTTGAAACCTTCTCAATATGTTGATCCTTACTACTACTGTTACATGACTACTTTGAGTAACTAGAAGACAATCCAATATTTCTGACCTTCTCCTAAAGAGTGACACTCTTGTAAAACATTCATGTACAAATGGGTCTATCCATCTAATCTCTATGGACTTTAATACTTCCATAGGCATTTATGGTCCCAACATTCTAACTCTTAATCTTAACTTAGGTATTTTTCTCTTCATTGGCATAAAATACATACGAACTTGATACGTGTGAATGAGGTGATAACCTCAGAATGGATTGTTCCAGTAATGCAAATGTATATAAATTTAGGTAATGCTACAAGTAGACTAAATTTCTGTCAACAAATGGAAACTTTTCTTTTTATTTTGTTAGACATCCGAGTTGCTAGCAATCCCCTCTTCAGTTTCTCACTTATACTAATTGTACTTTCTGCATGGCTGCTCAGCCCTTTGCTCTTGCACTGGTCAATGCCCATTGACTGTTCTGACAAAGCTTCAACAAGGACAGCATGCTCCCTACCTATCACATGCATGTACCTTCTTCTCACAAGTTTACATCACTAATGACTTACAAAATTAAAACATTTATTGGTTACACAGCCAAAAATTCACCGCTATTTTCTGTAATTTCCTCTTCGTTATGAATTCTCATGGATCTTTGGAAAAGTCATTGAGACTCTCATCTAGCTTCTTTCTGTAGTTCCTAATTAATTCCTCAGCCAATGTTGACCCAGTGTGGGCTCAGCAACGGATTTGCACTGAGAAACATGTTTTATTTAACCATGTGACATCTACTGGAGTTGCTGAAAATGTTATGGTTTTCTAAAGCACAAGCATTACAATACAATGAATTTACAGAGTTTCTCATGGCCCAGTTCAACCTCAAAGAAAAATAGATTTATGGAAGGAAATTAAATTGTTTAGTTAATAGTTAATAGTTAAATAGTTTGTCTCTTTTTTGATAAATTATATGCCCTGCTTCAATTTAAATTAATAGAAAGAAAAAGAGATATTGCTATGTCCAAGTAATATTCCTATAGAATATGGAATTTATAGACATATTTCTTAACAATTAAAACAAATGCACTTATAAAAATACTTTGAAATTGTATTTCCAAGTATTGGTGGGTTTTTTCCCTGTTTCTTTTCTAAAATCCATGGTTAATTAACAGTAACAATGCAATTTGGCCCTGCTGTCAAATATCAGAGCATTAATTATTACAGAAAATACATAAAACCATGATACCCAAATCCTAATGCACAGGAGAGTTATTCATTAATTTTAAGAAGGTTTTAGCAAGAAAGTCTAGGTTGAACATAAAATCTAAGATGAGATTTTAATGTCTCTACATCATTAACTACTTTAGGGTGTATTTCAAGCTTACAAAGCTATCCCACTTTGTATCCATGGCAGAAATCACATAGCAGGCCAGAACTCTCTAAATAATGTATTTAATAATTTATTTATAGGATATCTAAATGCAAATAGCTGCAAAGGATTGTAATAGATGCTCTCATAACTCGGGGTTTAGTGAGGGAATGCTTACACTACTTAAAATTTCAATGTTTTAAACTTACACTCTATAGCTTTATCTAACCTATAGGGATTAATTGTAACATATCACAGTAACTATCAGGAGGTATATTTTCTTTATCGCCTATTTAATTTCAACAAAACCTGTTCAATGCACAGATAACTGTTATATTGATGCATTTTAAAGGTAATATGAAGATATTGTAAGACTCTTCAGAGCAATTAGTAAATTTATTATATTTGCTTAAGCTGTCCACCTGATTGAGTGTCAAAAAATCCACTAGTCCTCTTGAAATTTTCTGGTAACCTTATTTCTGTTTAGACACTAAGCTTTTTTACTGATGAAATTTCTGTAAAATACAAATTTCAACAATCTGAAGGTGCAGCCAACATGTCTAAACATAAGAATTTTTAGATCATACAAGATTTTTACTATCAGAAAAAGTACATGGTCATACTAACGTATCTGTAGTCATCTTTAAATGTTATCATTTGTGACGATCAGTATAGACACTGCAAAAAAAGGGGTTTTCTTCATGTTTGACCTTAACCATTCATATTTTCATAACAGGTATATTCTTAAAATAATTTTATTTATTTAAGCATTATTATCTAATTCTGGTCATGACCACAGGGTTGAAATTGGTTTGTACTTATCCCAAATACCTGCATTTTATACAGCTGGTGACATAATAGACCATGACTCTGAAAGATGTTCTGGCCTACAAACATTTTGGTCTTCATTAGAGACACACAGAGGACAGATAATGTGCCATTTTTAACTAGCTCTCAGCTGAAAAAAAATACTTTAATTTAAACTATTTTCTCAGTAATTGAAATTCTAGAAGTTTCTCCTCCAACAAACATCTCCATAAGAGCTCAGAAATGCGTACTGTCTGAAATTAATTTCTGCTCCAGAATTAACTTCCTCCTGTGACCAGACTTGTTCTTAAATTCATCATCATTAACACCCCAAACCACTAATACTGCTTTCTGTCTGACCCATGTAGTTCCCAAGAGAAGGAAAACCTGGGGACTCTTCCCACCCCTACTGGTGATCCCGAAATGAGAAAAATGCTAAATTATTTTTGAATAATTCCCCATATCTCAGAAAGGGAAAAAATACATCCTATAACTGATTATGAAGGAAATTGCAAGCTTATTGTTAAGGATGTGAGTACAGTCTGAGAGGTTTCTGTGCCTCAAAAAGTCAAATGGCACAGCCATGAAAATGTTGCACCACTATTTTCACAGTGATTTCTAATAAAAAGTATTTATGGAAAAATTCTCTGTTGAACTTATCAACACAGCCTGTAGAGAGAAATCTCAGATACCCTTTTGTTTTTAAGAGTGTTCAGCAGAGACAATGACTGGATTTTTATAATCTGTAAAGTTTATATACCTTCATTTCACTGTGACATCAACTATAGGAAGTGATGTTCCTCTGAGCACCATCTTCCCCAAATCTCAGTGCTCCAGTGAGCCAGAACAGCAAAGAAGCAAAGACAAACACAGTGAGGTGATCAGAATAGAACTATTACTATTAAATCATATGCATGATATTAGAACTGTAGTCTGTAATATTACTATTAGGAAAAAAATAGAATGCCATCTACAGCAAAGTAAAAAGCTTGCACGTTCAAAAGTACAAAAAAAGGCTGCATTTTGTGGAATGGAAGAAATGGCAGCTGCTGGGAAACTAAAACATAACAGAAAATGGAGAAAAAGCCTGCTTGGGCCAAACTGTATTTTGATTTTCATCATAACGGATGCACATAGGACAGAATTTAATCCAATTGTATATATAAAAATATAGGTGTAAACCAATTAAAACAATTCAGAACAAGAGTTCTCATGGGTGAATATTTCTAAAGAAAAACTTGTTATGCATACCAAACTAAAATTTCTAAGACACAAGATAATATACAGAAATACCATATTTATCAAGATTTTACTTTGCTTTATAGGTAAGTATCATCAGCCAACTGAAAGTATTATCTCTGTTATGTATATTCCATGTAAAGCAATTTCAACTGGACTATACCAAATTTTCAAGAAAAGCAACCACTTCCAGTAAAATTGAACAGAAAGAACATTGCCCTGTCAAAGTGAAATATGGCAAAATGAAATAGTAAATAGCAACTTTGGTTTTGTTCCTAGACATATCTGAAGTTTGCCAATAGTTACTAGAATTTCAGGTAGTGGTGTAGTAGAAACACACTAATTTATCTTAGAAGGCTCATTTGAAGTTCACCTATCCCTTTGTTACATGCCACAAATAAATCTGGTAACACAGATGCCCAGAAAAAAAAAGCATAAGTACAAAATTGTAACTTACTACCTTTAAATGTCTATTTTTAGTGACTACTGAATACTGGAGATGCCTTTACTCATTAAAAGCTGAAATTTACAACCTAATTTGTTTTGGGCATTGTAGATAGGCAAAAGACACTTGCAGGGCTGAGCCACTTTGCTTTGCTGACATTCACAGCTGGCTGAGATTCAGAAACAAGCACTCGTGTAAATAATTTCTCTGTGAACATAGATTTTCATAGTAAAAACTGACCATATCAAATCCACTTGAAGAGTCCTTTTTTTTTCCTTTAATCCATCCAGAGAATGCACACAGAAGAGAAAGGGAGAGACCTTAGACATGAAAACAGATTTTAAATGTTAAAATATCCTTCTAGTAGTGCGAAAAGCAATGTTTCTTTCCCTCCTGTAGATGGATTTTAACCCCATCTACTACTTAGAAGACAAACATGATTCCAAATTACTGTGAGTATGAGTTTTTCCCCCATTGCTTTTGCTGAAACTATGCAACTTTTTTAGAAAATAATGTACAAGTCATTGACAAAGAGACAGCATGACTGCAATTAATTACTCACTACAGACACAGGGAGGATCCAGATGAAAAAGGATTATAAACAAAGAAACACATTTTACACTGAAAAAGTCTTGTTGTCTCATTTCTATCCTAATACTGTGCTATCCAAAAGGATTTTGACAGCTATCTGAGGCCACTAAGCAGAGAAATTATAAGCAAAAACACTTTCTCAGAACTTGACATGGGATGCGATTTTCAGGTGGATGTCCCAGCATATTTGTGAGGAGAATATGCTTAAGACCCAAAAAGCTCTTTCAATTTTCAATGTTAGGTTTCAGTAGCTCCTAGACTATGGTAATGTTTGGAAAAGGCAATTTGGGTCTTCTGGGTCAAAATGAAAATGATCAAAATGAAATTACAAGTCTCCCTTTCATCAGAATGTACCTTAAGGCCTGCTCTACACTCAGTGTTATTTGGTAGCTTCCTACAAGTCAACAATCCTCAAAAAATAATTTCTTTACCTTTTCTTTTATTGAATAATTGTCTATTTCTTGAAGTCTGCCAGTGCCACAATGTTAAATGTTCTATATCTGTTCAAAAATTTTCATTCCACACGCTCAAATGTCTTGCTCTGCAGTACACTTTCTGTTCTCCCAAGTGGCACAATCTGCCCCCATAACCTGCTATACCTACAGTACCTAATACTATACAAAATATATGAAAAATATATGCCCAAAAATATATGAAAGGACAGACAGCGTAGTTATGCCAGTTGTCACACAGACACATATGATGTCCTAACAGAGTTACTGTAATTTACTTCATGAAACTAAAGAGCAAAAAACAGTAGTTTTATCATGGAGTCAAGCCAAAGTCATCATATCATTGACTCTACAGTTTGCATTCTTATTGACTGCTTCACCTAACTACTATAGTTATTATAAATATTATAACTACATCTAATTATTATTATAAATAACTATAGCACTAGCCAGCTAGACAGGAGCAACAGAAGAGGCTGGATAAATTTTCCAGGTAACTGAATGCCTGAAGAGAGAATCTAGATTAGAGAAGCAATCTAGATTAGGTTTAATGTCAATCAATTTACTGCAGTAAGAGACTTGGAAAGCAATTGAGTGTTCTAATTCCACATAATTGCCACCTATTTGCATTATCTCTACATGTAAAGTGCCTGAGCTGCTGTCCAGAGTAATTTAATCACCACCATTCCCAACCTTTCATCTAGCCTGAACATTTTATGAGCTAGCTATGGGATTATTTTATGCAGTTGTGATTTTCTCTCTCTGCAAGGCAAATGAAAGTGCAAAGTAAATGAATACTTTCATGAAAAACTATTTTACAAGATCTAGTAAATGAATACTTTCATGAAAAACTATTTTACAAGATCTACTGCTATTTCAGAAATTGCAGTAATTTTCATCTCTCAAAAGAACAAACTGCATCATGGGTTGCTTTATTGCAGGTGATATTCAAGACAACAATGTCTAACATTGCTGCTGGAATATAGTGGTAATATTTGCAAAGTGATTCTAAGTGTGAAACACTTTGGAGGAATGTTGAGTTGCTATTGAGAAAAATGAGGTGACTATAACAATAATTTAACTTTATCTGTTCCAAAAGTTTCCAACTGAGGCACAGGCAAAACTCAAGTTTGGGGTTTTTCTGGTTTTTTGGGGTTTTTTTGGGTTTTTTGATTTTTTTGTTTTGTTTTGGTTTTGTTTTGGGTTTTTTTTTTTTGTTTTGTTTTGTTTTGTTTTGTTTTTTTTAGAAACATCGTGCTCAAACTTTTTGTAGTAATACGTCGAAGTTATCCTCTATGTAACTTTTGGTAGTAAATTCAAAAAAGGAAATATATCTCTCAGGCAAAAAAAGTAACCAGATAAAAGCATTATTTTTTGACCAAGTTATTTTCTATATGGCACTTGTCTCCCAAAGACCACCATATCCAGACACTAACTCTGCATACTACTAAATTAATTCAGTGGGCCAGAGTATCTTTGGATAGTTCATTGACAATATCAATGAATACTGGAGCAAAAGCAGACACATTCTTGTGCTCAGGACCAAAAAGACAGACATGACTGAGCTCAAAGACATTACTGTGGGAAAACTCTAGGAAGGAAGCTGAGTGTCACTAACTAAAACCAGTGAAAATCCTAAATGCCTTTGTTGTCTCCAAGTCTAAACAGTGATAATGTACTAATAACACAGCAACACAGTGTTTTCATTTCAGTTCACAAAGCAACAAAATTAAGAATATATGTGGTGGTGGAATGGCTGAATGAACCATGAAAAGTGCTCAGTGAACAGCCTGAATGGACAGACTCATGTACTTATAACAGATATCCCTAAAGGAGGAGAAAAATGGTGCTAAACATGACTTCAGACAATACTCAGTATTAACACAGTAAGACTGAAGCAAGTTTGCAAATTTATGAGGAAATTCAGACTCACATACACTTCATGTTTTTTCCACTTTTCAACTAATTCAAGAAAATTAAGATCAAACTACCCAGAACCACTGCATACATGAAAGAATTCTAATATAGTTTTCTACATCTTGCTAAGTCTGAAATAGCCCATGGCATACACATGCATTAAAATCTACTTTTCACAGTACATTGACCTTTGAGCAAAAGCATTTTTAATCCATGGTTTAGAAAATACATAGAAATCATCTCAAACATATCTTCTGGAGCAAATTTCACTATTAAACTAGACATTATTATTAATATTTGCCTATTAGTGATGCTCCACATGTTGAGGGATGATGAAACAGGCATCAACTTTCTGAGCCAATTTTTATTAGATCATTTTAGTCATCTCCATTCAGCTAATTGAGATAAAAAGATCAGAGAAAAACCAGAAGGAATAGGTGGAGTTCAGTCCATATCAGAGCAGAGTTTAGAGCTAGGACAGGTTACTTTAGGCCTTGTCCCAAAGAAATTTGAATCTTTCCAGAAAAAAATAATTAAATCTTTCCAGGGACTCTGCATGTTTCTATGGCATGCTGGGCCTCTGCCTTCAGCACTTAGTTGTTCTCAGCATAAGAAATGTTCATAAATAACTCACTGCTGATGCTTGAATACATAATTGTAAAAAATTCTCAGATACTGGGAATGTTCAAGGGTGGGTTAAATGGGGATTCAGGCAGTCTGGTCTAACAGAAGTTAAACTTTTCAGGTATACAGGAATTTAATCTATAAAATGAAAATATCTAAGAAATATCTACCAGTCTGCATTAGGAAGCAATACCAGTTAGATGGTATCTCCTCCCCTCTTTCTTTTAATATGACAGGAAAATATATTAAAAAAAACCCTTAAACCCAGAAAAAAACCCTAAAAATAAATATAACAAGTTAAATACCATAATAAAATATACATAAAAACTATGAATATCAAAGATAATCCTACTAATGGAAGTTAAGTTTTAGTATCCAGAATAGTATAGGCCTTTTCAATTTACAAATCCAGATGCTTACTACATTGCTTGGAGAATTGCATGTCCTGAAGAAATAAGTATGGTCTAGAACAGCATAAATTAGTAACTGCAGATTAGCTTTGCAAGAAAAGTATTTTTATACAGCAATATAATAAAGTTTATGAATTTATCAAAAATTACTTCATCTGTACAGGTGGGCTGGAATGAATTTTATTAATTTATCCTTGGGATTAATCCTAGGAATTTCTGTAGTGCAAATCTGCCCACTTGATCACTACAAATCTGTGTGTACTCCTGGAAAGTGACAGCATCTGGTTTAATTCTGGAGGATAATCTGTTACAGATTTATCACAGCACATTTTGTCAGGAAAGAGCAGCAGGGCACCTCATGCACTTGCTGCCAAAGGCCATACCCAGGAATGAGCTCTCCATCACTGCCCAGCAACTGAGGCAGAACAAAGAAGTGAAGCTTCTTTCTGTGGTTCTTCAAGATGCTTTTAAACTTACATATTTCAAACTCAGGAATTATGCTGCAGGCTTGAAAAATTTTCTGTAAAGTGAAATATCTGATTTGCTCTGCCAGCTCTGTTTAGGAGGTCTCTGTTTAAAGAGACAAACAGTTGAAATTTTATTATGCAGACTTTAAATATGTTGTTTCAAGAATTTTGAAATATATGTCATTTGAATACAGCTACTTTCAATAAATACTTAATTATTACATAATTATTTAAAAATCTAATTACCCTGTTCCTCAATTATATGATTAGGCGTTCTTTTCCTAACTAAGCTGTTCCAGACAGACCCTATAATATGAACACCACAGTTTTCAAAAGTTAACCAAATGTAATAACAATTCTTAAGAAACAATATTTTATAAATGTGCACAGAGCTAAGACTTCCGTAACAAAGACAGTAAAAACTTCTTTTTGTTCTCCTGTAAATAAACCTTTCTAAAGAAAATTTTTTATTTTATTCTAAAATACAGATTTTTTTTTTTAGTTTTGTGAGTGAACATCTACATTGTCATTCATCTTCACCTTAACTTTAGAATTGTAACTTTGCATTATCTTGCCCAACTCAGTGTGAAATTCTACTTAACAACAGCATTTCACATGGATTTTAATATTTAATGGGACTCATTGTTTTTCTAGAGATGGTGCATTTATGTTAAACTTTAAAAATTTTGGAAAAACAGGCATTAAAATATACTTAAAAGCAATGCCCTTTTAAACTATTTAATTTAAAAGGTGGTATCCAAACTTGAGGAAATCTGCAGTAATGAATGTTCCAGAGCTCAGAGAAACTTTTTCTTGTACTACAAGACATGCAAGGATGACTTACAATGTGGGAAAGTTGAATAAAGATTTCAAAGTTGTAATGGATCAAACACCCTATTTGTAGAAATGGTTATACTTAAACTGGTGAAATCTGCCTATTTCTGCAGGTGCTGAATTTAGCTACGGGTCTATAACCAACCAGGCTCCACAGCCACAGACTATTTAACAGTGAAAAGTAATAAGCAGAAACCTACTGCAGATGCTACAGGGTTTTCACAATGAAACAGAGCACTAACTTCCCTTTTTGAAGTGTGATGTGAAATTACAGAACAGAGCAGCACACCTATTTGTGGCTTTCAACCTTCAGCAACATTTACAGCAGATCACCATGAACATGAAATATTATAGTGTCACAGGTGAACGCATGGATTTCAAATTGAAAATACTAGAAAATTAAATTACATTTTTTATGTGATTTGTGGCAATCAATTGCAATTCCACTTTGTTGGACATTTAACTGAAGCAAGAAATACTTTGGCAAAAATGTGTGAAACTATGGATTAATTTATCAGCCTCCAGATCAGTCCAATACTTTTACAGATTGCTACATAACAAATTCCAGCAAAACAAAACTCCCCTTTGGCCAATTAAATGAAATGCAACAAAAACAATAACACCACCCCTCACCAAAACTTAACAAGAAAAAATACCAAAACAAATAACAATATTGTGTTTTTAATATTTGCAGCTGATTTATCATTAGGTTCCAACTACATCTAAAATATAGAAGCTGTCACTACCTATGAGTATTTGCACGAAATCATAAATCCAGAGTACAAAAGGCAACACTAATACTTCATATTCTTTTCTTTCAAGAGGTAATTTTGGGGGAACAAATAAAGCAGTGAATGGTATCCCACAAATAAATTTCCAGGATAAAAATTTTTGTTTCCAGAAAAACAGTATGATGAGTTTATTATAACAGAATGTGTCTACACTGAATGAAATTTAATATATACAGTCCAAACATATCATAAATAGTTTTATGTAGAAAATACTTAGAATTTTTAGAACATTGATTGAAAAGATAAAATTAATGGTATGCAATTTTGAACAATTAAAGCATAAAAGGATAGAATAACAACTGAAAATGATCAAAGTCTTTGGGGCCGTCAAAACTTTTACAGGTGAGAAGGACCAGGTGAGGATCACCTCTCCAAGGTGAGTGGGATCTGTTTGCTTCAGTATTACCATGAATACGATAGCACAGAGTTGATGCACACTCATCTGGCATTTTTAGCTTTATTTTATCTAAAAGGGGAAAAAGCAGCAGCATTTCATTCCCAGTACATTCACACCTTTGGAAGATTCAAGTCATACATTCTGTTTCACTGAATGTTTCAATGATCAAAAATGCAATTTTCCTTGTCTAATGAAAATCAAAAATATCAGTTCAGCTAAATTACTTTTGGTTATCTGGCATATGTGGTTTAGCACTTAGTCCTGGCACTTCCAGTTCTGGAAATAGCTTTCAAACTTAGTGCAAGTCCAAACTGCAAATCAGGCAGGTAGTTCCAGTTAAGCTCATATAATGTCCACCTGTTGGGAAGGATGGATAAATATAATTGCCTGGCAAAAGATTCACAATAGTACAGCCAGGCTGAAAACAACCCCCCCCCAAGTGGCTGGACAATACCCTCACCCACAGACAGGTCCAAAAGTCAAATGGACTGTTCCATCTCACCCCCCAGAATGTATGGTTCATCCCACACCTGTAACCCTCCCCTGAAACATCAAGTGTCTGTGACCCCATTGGCCCAAGTCTTGTTCCAGCCTACCCTTAAGCCCCCTGATAAGGGGTCTCCGAGGGGCCGGACGCTCTCTTGGAACTTCCCCTCTCTTGGAACTTCCCCTCTCTTGGAACTTCCCCTCTCTTGGAACTCCCCCCTCTTAGATCTCCCACCCTCTCCTAGAACCCCTTGTCTCTCCCCTCCCCATCCCCTCAGGCCTTGCCACTTGCTGCGTCTGGCAGCTCCAAGCAAGACCTTTCACAATCCCTAATAAACCTGATATTCTAAGAGCAGCCTTCAGAGATCTCTCGTCTCCATTCATCAAAGCCGTCCTGGAGAACCGCACTCCCTACATCCACCTTCTCTTAAAGAGTTTCTGAACTATCATGGAATTGTCCAGGTTTCATTTTACCTGGGATTTTTACTGCTAACAAATGCACAGGTCTGTGACTATATATGAACCTAAGAATCCATAAAATTTTATGTAACTGGTCACTGCCACTGCAAAGAATCCTTATATTAATGCCTCAAGCTGAAGTTTTTATCTCTACACTAGATATCTGATTTTTTTTTTGAGTGCTTATCTTCATGTTAAATTATTACAGTGTGATTTAAATGGAAGAAGACTTAGATACAGCAAGCATTGTGTTAAGTATAATCAGAAATATTATCTGGAAAAAATCACTTCATGTCTTCTCACGGCAGGCAGTTGGGTACATGGCGTTGAAAATATCCAATGGCCATCTGATGACCTCTGTTAGTAAGCATCAGTATTAAATACATTATTTATTGCAGCCATTGCTAAGAGCTCCCTAGAAGTAACCCTGTAGTAAGTCTCCCAGCACCAGAGGCTTGCTCTATCTCACTACACTGTGTAATCAGCTAGCGTCTCTGAAGTTCTGTGACAACATTTTCAATCTGGAGTTATGAAAAGTACTATAAAATTACTTCCATAACCTTAATAATCTGACACATGCTGAATGAGGTATGCCAATGTTGTGAAGTGGGCCCTCGTTAACCTCAAGAGCTTCAAACAAGGCCAAGTGCAGGGAGGCTCTGCACCTGTGCTGGGGCATCAACACAGCAACATAGCCTGGGGAGTGAACAGAGGGAGACCAGCCCTGCCAAAAATATGGCTGGTGGATGAGAGGTTAGACAGGCGCTGCCCAGAAAGCCAATTATCCTGGGCTGCCCCCAAAGCAGTGTGGCCAGCAGGGCAAGGGAGGGGATTCTGCCCCTCTGCTCTGCTCTGCACTGGTGAGACCCCACCTGGAACCCTGCATCCAGCTCTGGGGTCCCAGCACAGGAAATACATGGACCTACCTGTTGCAGCGAGTCCAGAGGAGGGACACGAAAGTTGTTGGAGGGCTGGAGAACCTCTCCTATGAAGAAAGCCTGAGAGATTAGGCATTGTTCAGCCTGGACAAAAGAGTAAAGGGAGACTTCATTGCAGCATTTGAATACTTTAAAAGGGGGCTTACAAAAACAAATGGGGACAGACTTTTTAATAGTGCCTGCAGTTGTAAGACAAGGAGTAACGGTTTTAAACAAAAGGATCATAGATTCAGGCTACATATAAGGAAGGTTTTTTTATTATGAGGATAGTGAAAAAATGGAACAACCATTTGAGCAACCAGATGTAGCTGAATCCACCCCATGCCACCCCCATGGAAGGGGCTTGGAATAGATGATCTTTAAAGGTTCCTTATAGCTCAAACCATCCTATGGTTTGATAATATGACTGATACACTGCAAAATATTAAGAGACAGCTTCAACATGTTTCAATATTGCCATTTTATATCAACGTGGTAGTGAGTAAAAGAAGAAATGATAGGGACATCAGATATCACCTGCACAGACTGTTTTTAGCTGAAGCAGTAAGATATGCCAGCCTCTCTTTTCCTTCTTCTTGTCCCTTTGTGCTTTTCCTCAACCATCTTGCCCAGTAGCTACTAATGCATGATTCTAAAAATTCTTTCTGACATCTGTTTCCAATTCATCTTTGTTCATACCCTTTTCAAGTTCCATATCCTATCATAAGTACATTGGGCCCAATTCACCCCTGATGCAATAACCTAGGCACTGGCTCTAGGGATGGTTTTAGTCTTGTCTATTCAGAGGGTTAATTTCTGTCTAAGCTAGTTAAAATGACATTTCAATGCAACTCCCTTTTAACTGTCATGTTCTATAAGATGCATCTGTATTTCTATAATTTCCATTTACTCCCAGGACCACTTCTATGGCTTTTATAAAATATCTCCTTCATGCTGCACTTCTTCTATTTGAAATCCCAGCAATGCGCTTAGCTTTCCTGTGATTATGTTAGTCATAAAGTTCAAAAGAAAACTTCCTGTTTTGTCAAAGGACTTCCAGGCATTATGAGAATTTAAAAAAAAAAAAAAAACAAACCAAAAAACACGCAGACACAATAAGATACAGAACTAAAGTAAATGTCCTTCTGCCCATTCCTCACATATTCAATACAAAACCAATGAATGTTAAATGTTTTATCATTCCGTATCACGTGCCGTTCAGGAAAGAAATTTTGTGAAGAGGTCACTTAGAGATTACCTTTAAACCTAATCTAAGGTGGGATGTCAGACAGTGATAATGAAGTTAGAATATTTTCTAGGTTAGCTTGTTATTCTTGCATTCTTCTTTTGTTCTTTTTTCTGCACCACTACTTCATCCTCTGCTTTCCATTTCAGTGTGATCCTTCCTTTCACTGCCTCTTAATCCTGCTTATCCATCTTCTCCAAAGTTCTCTCCTTTTCAGCCCTGCAATGGTATGGCATGATAAGGCTTTGACAATGGCATTTGGCCATGTAATGCTGTTTCTGAGCTGTAAATTAAGGTTTGGGCCTTTTGAAGCAGAAGTAGGTAATAATTTCCTATTGCTCTCCACAGTAGTTGCTGCAATCAGCAGCCCTGCAACAAATGTAACCCTCAACAACACCCCAGGTTCCAACAGCTGATGCTTAATAACCTTTGACATGTATTAAAGGGACACAAATCGTAACTGCCCAATAAAAATTTATGTTTTAAAAAGGGCAAGAAATAACAGCATAAGCTTGCAGCTGGTTGCTGCTACACTGTTATGTACAGATATGCACACAGAGAAATGCTTATAAATGTTTTTAAAAATTTTTTCATGTTTGAAACAGTAGCAAGCTTCTCCATTCACGTTGGAGCTTTGGCTTCTTAAAATAAATTATTAAAGCATCATTCCAGAATTATGTGCCCAGAAACAAGTTTAATGTTTTGAAAGCTTGACCAGAGGAACATTTTTTCTATTTTTTCCATTGTTCTTGTTAGCAACACTTAAATATTTGCTTCTATATAAATATGGCCATGCTAACTGAGGGAAATAAAATAGTTTTAAAATTTTAACACTAAACCAAAATACTTGCTACTGACTGTTTTGAAAAAGCTTCTAATGCAAAATTAATGTAGCACCTGTGTAGTCTGGACAGCCAAAAAGCTCTCTGACAGTAAGCAAAAATGATGAAAAATGAGTATGTAAAATTTCTGGGTTGTAATACCTCATGTGACTTTAAACTCTTGGGTTTGGAAAAGTATTAATGAGAAATGACCAAAACGCTTCTCCAAAGGAAAGAGGCCAAACAAATATTTCACTGTTGTGCATCACTAGAAACAGATGGTAAGTGATAAAAAAGTTACCACAATAAATTGGACCCATACGAAGAAACTGGGGAGTAAAGTGAACCACTAAATCCCATGTCCCTGCAGCACATGTTCTGTTCATCCACTAGATGCACTAGATTTCTCTCCTTTTCAGTTCCTCCAGAAATAAGTCAGGGAAAATACCTTCTAATCATCCTTTGCACTCTTCATCATGTCTTTACACTTCACTGCTGCCTGCCTTTAGGTGGATTCAATTTACCCAGAAATTAATTCTTCTGGGTTCCTGCTGTAATTTATTCCCATTCTTCAGAAAAAAAAAAAAAAAAAAAAAAAAAAAAAAAAAAAAAAGGTTACCTACATTAACAATATAACATTGTTTATAAATGAAATTTTATTGTAATATCTGCTTCATCCAATAGCAATCACATTTGATTTCAACCCAGAATCATGTGTTCTGCTTGCTTATATTCACTGCAATTTCTAAGGTTCCTCTGAAGATAAATAAAACTGACCTCAAACTCCTTATTTAGAAAAGGAAGAGGCAGCTCTGGTTCTATCACAGGTAAGAGAATATACAGTATATAATTTCATAATCAAACAATACATATACTGAAAGTTTTCTGAAAAATTAGTTCTTGTGATGTGATCCTTTTATTTACTTCTGTCAACATTATAGAAATTGGAATTGTTCTTTTAACACAAAAAAAATAAATGTGAAATTGAAATTTAAGGAAAATTTTCCTTTTATTTTTTTGTGTAATGCATTATGAAAACAAGACCACAGCATGTGCCACTGCACTCAAGTTTCATGCTGCAGATACATTTGAGAGCTTGGGTCTTGAGAAGAAAAGCCAGGTAGAGAAGGTAGGCCAGCCCCTTCCAATTTCCATGTTGCACCAAGCCATAACAATGGCATCAGGCTCATGTTAATGAGAGTGTCCTTTTTTGCCACCTAAGCAAATCACTATGGGAAGAAATGCTGAACATGCATTGCACTCCAACTGCTGTGACTTTCACCCAGGCCAGGCTTGGGCAACAGATCAACTCCACCAAGGTAGTGCCAGGCATGTGAACATAAGTCACTTGGTAGGTTGACTTCAGCTGACCACCAGGTGACCACCAAATCACCCTATTACTCAACTGGATGGAGGGACAAAATATAACAAAATGCTAACAGCATAAAGATATAAGGACAGGGAGATCCTTCATCTGTTACCATCACATGCAAAACAGACTCAACTTGAAAAATTTGACCTACTGCCAATCAAAGGCCAGAGTGGAATAATGGGAAATAAGGACAATATGTTATCACAGATGTGCACCAACACTGTTGATAGCTCAGCTTTGCTCAGGAGCCGATCCATCTTTGAGAAGATGGCTTTGTCTGACATGGGGACCACTTCTGGCATCTTGTCATAGATGTTACCCCCACAGCCCCTATCCCTTTACCACATAAACTGAATGTATGCACTTACCCAGCCTATATAAATTTGAGACCCTAGGAAATGTATGAGTTTCCTAGTCCAAGTCTGTACCAAAAATTACATATCACTCCCTGGCAAAAGCAAAGACCACAGCAGCATCCTTAATCTGTCTTTTATTTCCAAGCACCAGTTTCTACAAAATTAAAATACAGGACATGTAGGACATAGTTGACCATGTGTGGTCCTATCAACACAACTGGGTTGATAACTATGATTATCATTCTACCATCTTCTACCACACAGCAAGGACTCACAGAGTAAATTAGCATAAATCACAGAATTTCAGAATGGTTTGTGTTTAAGGGACCTCAAAGATTATCTACTTCTAAGCCCCCTGCCATGGACAGGGACACCTCCTACTTGATCAGGTTGCTCAGAGCCCCATCCAAATTGGTCTTGAACACTTCTGAAAATGGGGCATCCATAACTTCTCTGGGAAACGTGTTCCAGTGCCTCACCAACCTCACAGTAAAGAATTTCTTCCTGATATCTAATTTAAACCTACCATCCTTCAGTCTGAAGCAATTCCCTCTTGTCTTGTAGTAAGTCTTTCTACAGGTTTCTTCTCTTCAGGTACTGTAAGGCTGGAATTAGGTCACCTCAAAGCCTGTTCTTCTCCAACTTTAACAATCCCAATTCTCTCAGCCTTTCCTCATAGGTGAGGTGCTCCATCCTATTAATCACCTTGGTGATCAGTCCACTGGTTCTGTACTTAGTCCAATAGGTCAATTCCCGTGCTGGGGACCCCAGAGCTGGATGGAGGTTTCCAGGTGGGGTCTAATCAGAGCAGAGCAGAGGGCAAAATCCTGTCCCTCCCCTGCTGGCCACGCTGCTTTGGTTGCAGCCCAGGACACATTTGGCTTTCTGGGCTGTCAGTGCCCATGGCTGGGTCATGTTCAGCCTCTCACCCACCAGCACCCCCAAGATCTTCTCACAGGGCTGCTCTTGATCCCTTCATCCCCCAGCCTGGGCTGGTAAAAGAGGTTGTCCAAACTCAGGTGAAGCACCTTGCACTTAGTCTTATTAAATTTTATTATATTCCCATGGGTCCACAACTCAAGCTTGTCCAGGTTCCACTGGATGGCATCCCATAATTTAGGAGTGTCACCACACCACTCAGCTTGGTGTCATCTGCAAATTTGCTGAGGGTGCACTCGATCCTTTTATCTGTGTCATTAATGAAGTTATTAAAGAACACTTGCCACTGGGACTCTGAGCCCTTAGCCACTAACCTCTGGATGTGACCCCCAACAAATCCTTGTCCATCTAACAGTTGACCTGCAGAATCCATCTCTCTCCAACTTAGAGAAGGATGTTATGGGGAACCATGTCAAAGGCCTTACTGTAGCCTTTCCCTTACACACTGGTGTAGCCACTCCATCACAGAAGACCACCAGGTTGGTTGGGCAGGACTCACACTTGTGCAGCCATACTCTACAGTGTGCAGCCACACACACGGCCTCCATGTGCCTAGAAGCAGAGCTTCTAGGAGAATCTGCTCTGTGATCTTCCCAGGCATGGAGATGGGGCTGATAGGTTGGTACTTCCCAGGGTCCTCCTTTACACCCTCATTAGTGAGGGTACAGCAACTATTTCTCCTGTCACCTGGACTTCACCAGCTGCTATGAATTTTTTAGTATCATCAAGAGTGGCTTGGGAACGCCACCAGACAATTTCCTCAGGACTCTGGAACGCATATCATTGGGTCACAGAGATTTATATATATTCAGAGATTTATATATATTTAGGTTGTTCAAGTGGTCATGAACCTTTTTTTCACTTAGAATGGGAAGGACTTTTTCTCCCAGTCCTCATCCTGATGTCCAACCAGTCAAGACTTGTGGGAAGAAGGGTTTCCAGTGAAGACAGGCAAAAAAGTAGTTGAGTACTTCAGCCTTTTCTTCATGAAGAACTGATGTACAGTTCATAGTTTTTCCAATCAATATAGATGAAGCAGAGTGATATAAATTTGTCTTATCCAACAATTTCCTGTTCAACAGTAAGCTTATACCGTAGCTTTCTGCTCTTAATAATTAATAATATATACCTTTTTTTCCTAGACTCTTATGGTTCTATGATAAAGCTCCCTGCTTTGTGTTTCCAACATTTACAGCTTCCACTCATAGATCAAATTTTCCTTGAAAACACACCACAAAGCACAGGTGCTGAAAGCTCATGAAATATTCATTTAAACACGATTTAAAAGATTCACTGCATGTCTGAGAGACAAATAATTAATGTCCTGTATGCATGGTTAATGAGTGACACCGAAAGAAAATTGTTAAAAAACATACTAGTACATACTAGTATATACAAATGCTTTTCTAATAGTTTTCCTGCCTCAGTCTGAGAATTCAGACAAGATCAACAGTGAAGCTTGATGCACTGGCCATCTTCTTTCTAGAAATCAATGAGTCAATTTATTTACAACCTTATTTCTTATCCTGCTAGCCTAAAAAGAAATGACTGAACACCATGTCTTTTTACAGTTGGAGCTGAGTACCAAAAAAAGAAGTGGATGAAAATGAGCAATGCATGTAAAAAAATGCCTTAGTACTAGAAAATTTAAATGTTGAGCCTTAGGTTTATATGTAGTTACTGTTCTGCTGCAACACTTTCCATATTTAATTCTTCTTCTACCTAAGTAATACAATTCAGGCTTTAAATGTGGTTTCCCACTTGGAGACTTAAGTCTGAGTGTGATAGAATCAACCTCAGATTACATCAAATTACACTACTTGGAACAAAGTTCTCCATATCCTGTACTTTTGTACTGAACACTGGCATAATTGGTCTGCATATCACTGTGACAAGTTCAAACCTACATGACAATAAACAAGAATAGATGTATTTTAAGAGCTCTAACAAGACAAAGTCAGTGTTAGCTTCTGGATTTCAAATGTAGACATTATTTTTTTAAAATTAGTTTCTCATCTTTTCTCATCACAAAGACATGTTACCCTTTCATGAAAACAAATAATAATTTACTCAAAAAATTGTAACAAAAGATTTTGCTAATTAGAACAATGTGTTGTACTGTCATAAAATGAGGACTATTTTGGTATTTACAGCTCTTTTGCAAGTTTTGGCAACCTCCAAGTTTAAACTGTTTTCAAATAGCACAGCTGGTCTCCAAGCAGTGTCCAACAGCAAGACCGTAAGACATGATCTCAAAATACTACTCTGGTACTTAAAAATCAGGTCCTGACAGGCAAAAAAATCATCAGTCCCTAAAGTATTAAGGATCACATTCAGTTGTACATACAGATTTCAAATATATAAATTACAAATTATGTATTTTCATAGCAGTAGTTCCTCATTTCTTGAGTAGGTGTGATTACTGGAAGTGTTAAAAACATCTATCACAGAGTGATCCACTTTCTCAGTACATATTATGAATGAGCTTAGAAAATTATTTTAAATACATTAATAACAATTCTGAATTTATTATGAAAAAATATTTTAGGTTATGAAAACAAATGCACCACAAAAATCTGGCCTATAGGCTTTCCTGTAGAGACACATAACCAGTGTTATGAATCAGTCACTAGATCAATGTAGGTACACATATATGACATTCTATGTAAGCTGTTGGTGGAGTTTTACAATTTCCTTTTGTAAACCTTGAACTCTTTTTGTCAGAATTCGTGAGAGCCCTATATCTTTATCAGATGACTCACTTTTTCAGCCTGTTCAGTAATTAGTGGTGTATGTTTATCAAAATTCCATTTAATTTATTGTTCTATTGATTACTTTCATTTTTTTGAATGCCAGTTTTCCACTAACGAGTATTTCAATTGTCAGAGTTTCTCAGAAGGTG